TACTGAAACTTTTATTATATATAATGTTCTTCTTTGCCTTTTGTAACAATTTTTGATTTAAAGTCTATTTTGTTTGATATCAACAAGAGCAATCAGCCTGGCCAACATGGTGAAACTCCGTCTCTACTGAAAATACAAGAAAGTTAGCTGGGCATAGTGGCACACACCTGTAATCCCAGCTATTTGGGAGGCTGAGACTGGAGAATCGCTTGAACCCAGGAGGCAGAGGTTGCAGTGAGCCAAGATGGTGCAACAAGAGTGAGACTCCCTCTCACCAAAAAAAAAAAAAGAAAAGTTAAAATGTCAATGTTTTCTTCCCAAAATTTAATAGCTTCTTCATTAAGCATTCCCCTAGTTATTGTAAGATTTTTATTAGATTCTGGAGACCCCAAAAAAGTTTACTCTGATCATTTTTGTCAGCTTAACCATAGCTTTGGTAGAGGGCTGAAATTGTGGAGCTCTCTAATCCTCCATTTTCAGTTGCTACCTGTCCGACTAGTTTGAGTCCAAAGGGAAAGACAAATGCAGCACACACATCCTTACTCATGGGCAGTGAAAGCAGATGTGACGGGCCCTGCAGACTGGTGCGGGTGGCACGCACTGGCATCAGTGACTTTGCATCTCCAGTGCCTCATGTGGGCTTTGATTTTATGCTAACATTGGATTTTCTCAGTCCATGCTAAAATATGTTGGGAATCACCACCAGCAGAGGCACAGGGCCTTGGGAGAGGTGGCCACATCACTATTCAGCACTGGCAAGCAAATCCCATCTGAAAAGGAAGGAGAGGACAAGGAATCCTGATGGGGAGGTGGTCCTGTGGGCACTCTGCTCTACCTGAAAGAGCTGAGCTTGCATTTGTGCTGGCGGGATGCAGCCAGGCCATTTGGATTTGAAAATCCCTTATTTTTCAGGGCCTAAGCTTTACTTCTATCAATCTGAGTTCTCCCCCTCCCTCCTCTGCAGTTGGCCTATTTACAGGGCCCTGCCCAGTTGACCACAAAGGCCCAGCATTGGCCAGGGAAGGCAGGAGGTCTCCTGGGGAGGCGTACTTTGTAGAGTGAGTGCTGGAGGACAGGGAAGCCAAAGGTGCCACAAAAAGGACTGGGCACGGAGGGGCCTCCATGGCACAGGCTGGGAAGGAAGCACAGATCCCTCTCCATGTGAGGCTGGGCCACCCCTGGACCAGCCTTGCCCATAAGGGCCTGGCTTTGTTTGCTAAGTGTGAGCAGGGCTGTGGCCCCTCCTGGTCTCAAGACAAAACCAGGCAGAAATGTGGTTTTTTGTTTGTTTTTTGGTTTTTTTGAGACGGAGTCTCACTCTGTCGCCCAGGCTGGAGTGCAGTGGCCGGATCTCAGCTCACTGCAAGCTCCGCCTCCCGGGTTCACGCCATTCTCCTGCCTCAGCCTCCCGAGTAGCTGGGACTACAGGCACCTGCCACCTCGCCTGGCTAGTTTTTTGTAATTTTTTAGTAGAGACGGGGTTTTACCGGGTTAGCCAGGATGGTCTCGATCTCCTGACCTCATGATCCGCCCGTCTCAGCCTCCCAAAGTGCTGGGATTACAGGCTTGAGCCACCGCGCCTGGCCAACTCTCAGCTTTTAATCCACATTTCTACACTTAATGTTACAACTTTAATATTTACTATAAGCATTTCATTGTGTTCTCATATTTTCTTTGCAAATAGTACTGTAAATGATTTCACATCAAGCTATTATATATTTGAACATTTCATGATTTGCCGAACAAGTTTTCAGTGATTTGTTGTGCCAGGTGTTTTTTGTTTGTTTGTTTGTTTTGGTTTTTGTTTTTGAGACGGGGTCTCACTCTGTCGCCCAGGCTGGAGTGCAGTGGCACCATCTCGGCTCACTGCAAACTCCGCCTCCCGGGTTCACGCCATTCTCCTGCCTCAGCCTCCTGAGTAGCTGGGACTACAGGTGCCTGCCACCACTCTCAGCTAATTTTTTGTATTTTTAGTAGAGACGGGGTTTCACCATGTTAACCAGGATGGTCTCGATCTCCTGACCTCGTGATCCGCCCACCTTGGCCTCCCAAAGTGCTGGGATTACAGGCGTGAGCCACTGCTCCTGGCCAGTTGTGCCAGGTTTTGCCATTAACAGACAAACAGGATGAGTCTTTCTGAGGCCTGGCATCTACCCCCTGCTCTCACAGGCTGTCCTCCCCAGGCCCGCCTGCCCTCCCCTCATCAACTCTGTCCACACGCTTCTGTCTCTGATTTGTACTTGGCCTTCCCTAGAGCCCTCGTTCCTGGCAGGATGAGGGCAGCATGCGAAGAAAGTGGGTAGCACTTACTGTATTTGGGTGAGGGGTAGAGGGTACCAATAGCATCCAGCTCACAGCAGCCACACCACCCTCTCAGTGTGCAGCGGCACATTAGATAGTAGACTGGCTTTGTAATTCCACCATCTGTGCCTGCGCCATTGTTCCTTCTGTCCTGGACCTTGACAAAGCTACCACTCCAGCACCTCCTGGGAGTCCCCGTGGCTTCTGCTTTATACATTTTGGTGTTAGACTTTCTGTGAATTGCTCCTTTGGTTACCTTCTGTGTGCTATGTGATGGTCTGCCTGGAATCCAACTTGGTCGAAAAACACTGGGTCATTTCCCTCTGGGGATGAGGCCACGGCCTGTCCAGTGCTGTGCTCCCTCTCAGCCCTGACCAGCTGGTCCCTCCACAGCAGTCATCTTCCCAGAGCAGGCGACAAGAGGAAGCATTTGTCCTGTCTTCTCGCCTGACCTGGCTGCTTCAAACATTGGGACCACCGGTGCTCCTTAGGCTGCCCTGGCCGTGCAGAGACAGTGGCCCCTGACTGCCTCTCCCCGGCCATCCTGGACATGTTGCCCCAAAGTGGTCCTTTCCCACATCACCCAGACCCTGGGCTCTCCGAAAGAATTGGAGGCCAAGCAGGACAGACAGCCCCACTCTGAGCTCCATCCTCCACCTCAACACATGCAGCCCGTCCCTCCATCTGCCCCACCCTGTGCTCCCTCTCCTTCAAGTCTGTCCTCTGCATGAACTGCTTGCCTTTGGCCCATAAGCTTTATTGTCTCCTGGGTCCTAAAACAAAACTTTCTAAAAAGTCAAAACAAGAAATCATAAAAGACCAGGCTGGGAGTGGTGACTGACAACTATAATCCCATCGCTTTAGGAAGCTGAGGTAGGAGGATTGCTTGAGGAGTTTGAGACCAGCTTGGGCCACAGAGTTAGATTCCCATCTCTAAAAATAAAAATAAATACATAAGTAAAAGAGCAGTTGATTGGATTGTGCAATTTTGATTTATTTGTTTGGAAAACGGAACTTAGAAGTTTTTCGGTTTTTATGAGACAGGATCTCATGACGTCACCCAGACTGAAGTGCGGTAGCACGATCACGGCTCACCACAGCCCTGACCTGCTGGGATCAGGTGATCCTCCCACCTCAGCCTCCCAAGTAGCTGGGACTACAGGCATATGCCACCATACCCAGCTAATTTTTGGATTTTTTGTAGAGACGGAGTTTCACCATGTTGCCCAGGCTGGTCTCAAACTCCTGAGCTCAAGCGATCCACCCATCTTGGCCTCCCAAAGTGGTAGGATTACAGGCATGAACCACCACACCTGGCCCAGAACTTAGAATTCAAAAGGCAAATAAAGTGGCAGAACATCTCACCACACATCACAGAGGATCAGCAACAGAAGAGACAGAGGTAGTGCACCCAGAGACTTCCTGGGGAACATTAGAACTCTTTCGAGGAAGCCTCTAAAATGTCTATTTTCAGGAAAAAAAAATCAATCATAAAGACTTACGTAATAGGGTTTTTGTCATCAGGGAACACAGGAATCAATTTAAACGCCCAACCATTGGGATAGGCTTGGTAAAAAAATAGCATGTCCGTAAGATGAGGCCTCTGCAGCTACAATAGTGTCATTCTCAAAGAATCACGATGCCAGAGCTGCCGTGCTGTGAGTCCCGTGAAAAGAGGCAAGGTACAAAAGGGCATGTGATCTATGCCACTACTACCTTTGCACACAACCTGTTAAGAATGAATTTTACGGCCGGGCGTGGTGACTCAAGCCTGTAATCCCAGCACTTTGGGAGGCCGAGACAGGCGGATCACGAGGTCAGGAGATCGAGACCATCCTGGCTAACATGGTGAAACCCCGTCTCTACTAAAAAATACAAAAAGAAAAAAAACTAGCCGGACTAGGTGGCGGACGCCTGTAGTCTCAGCTGCTCGGGAGGCTGCGGCAGGAGAATGGCGTAAACCCAGGAGGCAGAGCTTGCGGTGAGCCAAGATCGTGCCACTGCACTCCAGCCTGGGCAACAGAGTGAGACTCCGTCTCAAAAAAAAAAAAAAACAAAAAAAAAAAAAAAAAAAGAATGAATTTTACGGCCGGGCGTGGTGGCTCATGCCTATAATCCCAGCACTTTGGGAGGCCGAGGCAGGCAGATCACGAGGTCAAGAGATCGAGATCAACCTGGCCAACATGGTGAAACCCCGTCTCTACTAAAAACACAAAAATTAGCTCGGCGTGGTGGCATGCACCTGTAGTCCCAGCTACTCAGGAGGCTGGGGCAGGAGAATCACTTGAACCCGGGAGGCGGAGGTTGCAGTGAGCCGAGACTATGTCACTGCACTCCAGCCTGGGCAACAGAGCCAGATTCTGTCTCAAAAAAAAAAACAAACAAAACAAAAACCAAAACAAACAAACAAAAAAACCCCATGAATTTTACTTTTTTTTAATTATTATTTTGAGATGGGGGTCTCACTCTGCCGCCCAGGTTGGAGTTCAGTGGTGCGATCATGGTGTAATCATGGCTCACTGCAGCCTCAACCTCCCGGGCTCAAATGATCCTCCCACCTCAGCCTCCCAAGTAGCTGGGACTACAGGTTCATGCACCACGCCTGGCTAATTTTTGTATTTTTTGTAGAGACAGGGTCTCTCCATGTTGAGCAGGCCGGTCTGGAACTCCTGGGCTCAAGTGATTGAATTGTACATTTTTAAATGGTTAAAATAAAACTACTATTACGTGACACATGAAATCCAAAATGTAGTGTTCATCTATAAAGGTTTATTGCCATACATCCTCCCTCATTCACCTCCGGGTTGCCTGTGGCTGCCTTCTCAAGGCAACGGCAGGCTTGAGCGGTTGCAACAGGGACCATATAGCTGGCAAAGGTGGAAGTATTTACCTCTGGACCTTCACAGAGAATGCTTGCCAACTCCTGATCTATATACACACGGTGGAGAAGGTCTCCAAGGCAACACGCGGCTCCTCAATAGAGACTAACCGTGGGATGATGGAACTATCCGTGGTTTTTCATCTTTTTTTCTGTATTTCCATTCTTTGTCTATAATAAGCATGTACTGCTTTTATAACAACAAAAATGGAAGTTTTCAATGAAATTGCATACTCACAAAAACCTTCTCTGCACTCCCACCACTCCTGCCAACAGCTGCACCCCCAGGGGATCAGGGGGCTTCTCCCCGAAACAGTGGCCAGTAAAAGGAGCACTTCTCCAGGACCAAGGAGAGCAGGCTCCGGGGGCAGGAAGAGCGCATAAAGCAATGTCTGGGACCGGGGTGTGTGACCAGCTCTGACCTGCATCCCTGTTCAGGCCACAGCAAACTCCACAGGGCAGGGACCATGCATGGGTGCTGGGCCACGTGAGGCTCTGCCCATTGCAGCACTGACCCCCTGAGGGGCCCCCACCTGGTGGGGCTTATTCCTCATCACAAAGATAGTGGTCAGGAGGCCTGGGCCCTCTTCTCTCCACCAAAAAACAGAGGGGCCAACTTGGTGACCTGAGAGTCCAGCTGCTTGGAGACCCTCTGCTGGGCAAGGGGTGGGCACGGTTGAGGAAAGGGCAGCGGGATGTCCCCATGGCTGGGGGCAGTGGGCAAGTGGTCAGAGAAGTGAGCCTGGGAGAACTGACACAAAAATCAGGGCTGGAGATGAGGCCTTGGGGAACCACTCCCAGGCTCTCTGAGCAGGCACAGACTCCCCACAGAGGCAGAGAGGCCACCACCCTGGCCTGCCTAAGAAGTGAGGCTCAGAGAGGCCAGGTCAGACCAGTCAGCTCATCGGGGACAGATGGGCACCATGGCCAGGCCCTACCACAGCGGGAGAGCCTGCGACCACCCTCCCCTTGGTCTGGAGGAGCTCCCCTAGAGCCTCAGTGCTTTCTCTGTGTTCCCAGGTGTCTTCCTGCCCCTGTCCCCAGCAGTGGCAAATGAACCAGTCCTGGAAGAAGTGGGGATCATGGCCTTGACACCCCTGGCCGAGATGCTAACCAGCTTGCAGCCCAGCACCATGCCGGGCTCACTCATGAGCCCCCTGACAGGCACCCTCAGCACGCTGCTGTCCGGCCCAGCACCCCTGTCACAGAGCAGCCCCCTCACCGGCTTCCTGACCAGCCCCGTGGCAGGGCCCCCAACGGGCACACTGGCCAGTTCCCTGGGCCTGCCCTCCACTGGCCCCCTGACTCCCAGCAGCCCCCTGGCAGGCCCTGTGGCCGTGTCCCAGAGTAGCCCCCTGATAGCCCCCGTGACTGGCACAGTGGCCGTCTCTCTGAGCAGCCCCCTCCTCAGCTCCACTGCCACCCCACTGGGGGTCTCTCAGAACCTGCTGGCCAACCCCATGGGCAACCAGGTCCTGCCAGAGGCCCCAAGGCTGCGGCTGGCTGAGCCCCTCCGCAGAGGCCCCCCTGGGCCCCACTCCCCAGCTTGCATGGTACCTGCTGCCACCACCAAAGGTAATGGGTGTGCTGGGTGGTGGGTGGCAGAGTGGGCGGGGAAGAGCCCTCCCACCTCACTCTAATACCCCTCCTTTCATTTCTGTCCCCTCCACATCACCAGTCCCACTCTCCACTGAGCCCCCCCGGTCGACCCAGGACTCAGAGCCTCTCAGCACGGCGTTTGCAGGCACACCCCTCCAGACCTCCACCCCCGTCGGAGCCATGGGCACACCTGCTCCCGAGACGGCCTTCTCCTTCAACACTTCAGACACACAGACTCAGCCCAGTGCCACCCAGGAACAAGTGGTCCCTGCATCTGTCCCCAGCTCCCCCACTACCTCCCCCACAGTCACTGTCCTTGCCTCTGCCCCCGCCCTCACCCCCCAGGTTGCCACCAGCTACACCCCCTCAAGCACCACCCACATCGCCCAGGGTGCCCCCCATCCCCCTTCCCGAATGCACAATTCCCCAACCCGGAACCTGCCTGCCCCCCACTCTCCTCCACACAACCCCCACTCCCCACCTCGTACATCATCCTCCCCGGCTTCAGTCAATGACTCTCGGGGTCCACGCGCCACGGAACCATCGAGGAAGAGCATGATGGAGGTGGAACGGAAGCTGGCCCACCGCAAGACGAGCAAGTTCCCCGAGAGCGCCCGAGGTCAGTGACACTGCGGGCTCCATGCGGGTCGGGCCCCCAGGCCCTCTCCCTGCCGCCTGCCTGGGCTGCTGACCCCAGTCCCTCTCACCCTCTCACCTGGGCTGATGAGACCCTGTGTCCCCAGAGTCGAAGCAGCTGGCCTGGGAGAGGCTGGTGGGTGAGATCGCCTTCCAGCTGGACCGAAGGATCCTGTCCAGCATCTTCCCAGAGCGCGTGCGGCTCTACGGCTTCACTGTCTCCAACATCCCGGAGAAGATCATCCAGGTGTGTGGCCAGGGGCCTGCAGGGACAGGGGGCAGGCTGGCCCATGAGGGGCTGTGGGGACCCTGCATTCTGGCCAGGCCAAACATGCCATGACCTGAGGAGTCCCTGGGATAGAGGAAGCTGACTGCTCAGTGCCAACGGCCGGCGGGTGTTGGGGCGTCTGGCAGTGGGAGCCCAAGGTCTCCTCGGAGGAAGGCGAGGTGGGGGGTTTCAGCAAGGTCGGGCGGCTCTTGCCGTTTGCCACCAGGATGGCCTCCTCTGTGGACACACATGGAGAATGATGCTTTGCCAACACGCCCAAGTGTGCGTCTGTGCCACGCGTGTGGCAGGCTGTAGAAGGCACGGGGAAGCTGGATTGGGGGTGTGCGCCTGCCGGGCAGGGAGGGCAGCTGCATCACTACTTACCACTTGGGCTTCTCTTGAGAAAACAGCCCAGCCGCACTCCCGGCCGCTTTTTCTCTCCAACTGTGATTATCTGTGGATTGCAGGCCTCTGTGTAGCCTGAGCAGGAGCTACTGTGAGCTGCGTGGGTCCAGGTTTGAGCTTGGCCTCTGGTTAAAGCATCCTTTGGTTAGTTTTGTGTGTGGAGGTTTTTGTTTGTTCGTTTTTTTTTGTTTTCAGATGGACTCTCGCTCTGTCACCTGCCCAGGGTGAGCTGAGATTGCGCCATTACACTCTAGCCTGGGCAACAAACCAAGACTCCACCTGAAAAAAAAAAAAGAGTACACAATAGTGTATGTACCCAGCTCACTGCAACCTCTGCCTCTCAGTTCAAACAATTCCGCTGCCCCAGCCTCTTCTTTCAAGACAGCCCAGGCTGAAGAACAGTGGCGTGATCCTAGCTCACTGCAAGCACGAACTCCTAAGGGCTCAAGCCTCCCAAGTAGCTGGTTACCACAGGTTTACACCACCACACCCAGCTAACATACATATATATATATTTTGTTGTTGTTGTTGTTGTTGTTGTTGTTGTTGTTGTTTGAGATGGTGCTTCGCTCTTGTCGCCCAGGCTGCAACGCAATGGTGCGATCTTGGATCACTACAACCTCTGCCTCCCAGGGTCAAGCAATTCTCCTGCCTCAGCCTCCCAAGTAGTTGGGATTACAGGCACCCACCACCACGCCCGGCTAACTTTTTTGTAGTTTTAGTAGAGACAGGGTTTCTCCATGTTGTCCAGGCTGGTCTCAAACTCCCGACCTCAGGTGATCCGCCCGCCTCAGCCTCCCAAAGTGCGGGGATTACAGGCATGAGCCACTGCGCCCGGCCCCAAAAGGGAAGCTTTTAAAGACAGAGACGTCCATGTAAGCTGCCTTGAAACCAAGTTTAGAAGTCACAGAAGCTCACTGCAGTGGCCTTGTTCATTGGTGAAGGCCACTGTTAAGCGAGTGGCCTTGAGCAAGCAGTGTCTTGGAATCCTGCACTCTTGAGGAAGTTTTTGTGATAAATCCTGTTACAGGCCTGCGTGCGAGAGGACTTCTTCACAGCCTTTCCCTACTGCAACTTTTTTTTTTTTTTTTTTTGAGACGGAGTCTCGCTCTGTTGCCCAGGCTGGAGTGCAGTGGCCGGATCTCAGCTCACTGCAAGCTCCACCTCCCGGGTTCATGCCATTCTCCTGCCTCAGCCTCTCGAGTAGCTGGGACTACAGGCGCCCGCCACCTCGCCCGGCTAGTTTTTTTGTACTTTTTAGTAGAGACGGGGTTTCACCGTGTTAGCCAGGATGGTCTCGATCTCCTGACCTCGTGATCCGCCCGTCTCAGCCTCCCAAAGTGCTGGGATTACAGGCTTGAGCCACCGCGCCTGGCCGCAACTTTTTTTTAAGATGGGGTCTCACTGTGTCGCCCAGGCTGGAGTGCAGTGGCATAACCATGGTTCACTCAAGTGGCCCTCCCATCTCAGCCTCCCTGCTAACTGGGACTACAGGCGTGCACCAACACACCTGGCTAATTTGTTTATTTTTTTAAATTTTTATTTATTTATTTATTTTTGAGATAGAGTCTTGATCCTGTCACCCAGGCTGGAGTGCAGTGGTACAATCTCAGCTCACTGCAGCCTCCACCTCCTGGGTTCAAGCAATTCTCCTGCCTCAGCCTCTCGAGTAGCTGGGATTACAGGCACCCGCCACCACACCTGGCTAATTTTTGTGTATTTTTTTGGTAGAGATGGGGTTTTGCCGTGTTGGTCAGGCTGGTCTCAAACTCCCTGCCTCAAGTGATCCGCCTGCCTCTGCCTCCCAAAGTGCTGGGATTACAGGCATGAGCCCAGCCTTAAATTTTTTTTTTTTTGAGACAGAGTCTTGCTCTGTCACCCAGGCTTTAGTGCAGAGGCCCAACCTTGGCTCACTGCAACCTCCGTCTCCCAAGTTCAAGCAATTCTCTTGCCTCAGCCTCCCAAACTGAGGCTTGAGCTGTGGCCAGGTGTGAGCCACCACGCCTGGCCTTGAAGGAATACTTTTAAGACAGGGTGATATTTATAAGACACAACTGACACACCTCAGCCAGGTGTGGTGGCTCACGCCTGTCATCCCAGCACTGTAGGAAGCCGAGGCGGGCAGATCACTTGAAGTCAGGAGTTTGAGACCAGCCTGGCCAACGTGATGAAACCCCGTCTCTACTAAAAATACTAAAACATTAGCCGGGTGTGGTGGCATGCGCCTGTAATCCCAGCTACTTAGAAGGCTGAGGCAGAAGAATCCCTTGAACCCGGGAGGCGGAGGTTGCAGCGAGCCGAGATTGAACCACTGCACTCCACCCTGGGCGACAGAGCAAGACTCCGTCTCAAAACAACAACAAGACACAACTCGCTGCACTGTGAGATGTGAGGGCACTGCCATTCCCCAGGGTGGGGGCCCCCGCGTGACCTGGTGCTCAGTTCTCACTGGGGCCGCTGCCTGTAACCCTCAGAACACTCCTGCAGGTGGCACCATGATTTCCTTCACATCCCAGCAGCAAAACTGAGGCTCAGGCCCAGGGTAGTGCAGAAGCAGCCGTTAAGCATGGCTGTCCGCGGGCCCTTACTCCTGTGCTGAACCTCGATGGTGTCTTCCTGCCCCCACAACTGTGCATATTGCTCATTTGCCTAGAAGGCTCAGGGGCCAAGAACCTCCCGCTGGGGAAAGACAGGTGCATCCCAGGCACGTCCCAGGCAACAGGGGTGCTGAGCGCAGGCTCTGGGAGCACTCAGCAGAGGTTGGCGTCACATTAACTGGGCCCAGTCCTAAGTCCAGCCCCAAGCCTGGTACCCTGCACACACGACGACCAGCCTGGGAGCCTTCCCCAAGGGGTGGTGCCTGAACAACTTGTCTGGGCAAGAGTGTTCCCAGCAGGTTGGGGACCACCAGGCATCTGGGACACAGTAGGACGTAGCTGGAAGAGAGGTGCAGGGACAGATTGGGGGACACTGGAGGGTGGCCCTCCCCCAAGTGTTGGAGCAGTGGAAACTATACGAGGAGCTCAGGCAGGGGCTAGCCCACCCAACTCCACTTCAGACCCGTGGCTCTGTGGGCCTGTGCAGAGAGCGGGCAGGGCCAAGCCTGGAGGCGGGGGCAGCTGCACCTGAGACAGGCTGCAAAATTGGCAGGGCCCAGTGCAAAATGAAAATAATTCAAAACTTAGAACTTCAGGATGGTGCCAACAGAGCATTGAGCTGGGCACTGGGCTTTCCACAACTGCCCAGGTCACACATCCCCGGGGCAGTGGCAGGCGGGGTGGGAGGGGCTGCCTTCACGATTACAGGCCTTAGGGTGGGACCCAGTCACTGCCTGGCTGGTGGGAGGACACAGGGCATGAGGAAGTGAGTGGACACTGACCCAGATGTGCTGGTTTCCAGGCCCAGGAGGAGGCAGGTGAAGGAGACAGGCCCCTGGGGGGCCTGTGCTGGGGCCAGCACTTGGCTGGGGTTGTCAGTTCACTGCTGGGGGAAGAAAGGGAGTTCCCTAGGGGGTGTGCAGGCTAGCGGGTGTTGAGGATGGAGGCCAGGGTAAGGAAGGGGGGGCCTTCAGACGCTGAGAGGGAGCAGAGCAGGGAGTCAGGAGGCAGCCTGAGAAAGACCCCAGACCCCTGGGTCAGGGGACCCTGTGCGCCTCCAGATGCCTAGCCACGGCTCCTGTCCTCAGTCCCTGGAGGCCTCAGCCCAACTGCAATCCCTGGTGGTGGGTGGAGCAGACGACAGGGTTGGGGCATCCTCTTTCACCCTGTGGATGAGGCCCCACTGGGGAGCGTTGGGAGCCACCTGCCCTGCCCGGATCAGGCCTTGAAGACCTCTCTGTCCAGCTCTGCCCACTGGGCTTCCCTGTCCTAAACCCTTGAGGTCCCTCGCAGAACCTCCCCACCACACACCCCTCGGATCCTGGCCGTCTCGCAGCCTCACGTGCCCCTCGGTCTTCCCCTTACCTGCCTGTGTGTGGAGGTGTGGCAAAGGAGGGTCCCTGATGGCCGCTCTCCCCGCAGGCCTCCCTGAACCCCAGTGACCACAAGCTGGACGAGGAGCTGTGTCAGATGCTCACACAGCGTTACGTGAGCATCATGAACAGGCTGCAGAGTCTGGGCTACAACGGGCGTGTGCACCCTGCGCTGACCGAACAGCTGGTGAACGCCTATGGCATCCTGCGAGAGCGCCCGGAGCTGGCGGCGTCCGAGGGCGGCACCTACACTGTGGACTTCCTGCAGCGCGTGCTAGTGGAGACCGTGCACCCTAGCATGCTCACCGATGCGATGCTGCTGCTCTCCTGCCTCAACCAGCTGGCGCACGACGATGGCAAGCCCATGTTCATCTGGTGACGCTGGAGCTGGGAGGTCCAGGCTCGCTCAACCCCATAGTCTTCTGCACAGCCATTAAAGCTTCCCACAGACGCTGGTCGCTGGGCCTGCGCCAGCACTCCTGGGTGGTGCTGCCTCCTCTGGGGTGGCTCACCGGGCCCCTGCACCATGCCCCTTCAGCCCTGCCTGCCCTGGAGGTCAATGCCCATCCTGGACCCTTTGCGAGAGCCCGAGAGGCCAAGGCTTAGCAGTGGTCTGCGAGGGGTTGGTCTGAAGGCCCCCAGGCTCCCCTCCCATGGCACTGAGAGCAGTGGGAGCTCCTGGGACCTGGATGGGGAAGGGTAGGAACCAGGAAGGGGTGGAGCAGGGAGGGAAGGGCCGTGGCTCTGTGCCTGCCGCAGTGGTGAGGGGCACGGAGCTGGCAGAGGTGGGAGGAGACAAGGATGTGGGTGTGGGATCCCTGCCTTCATACTAGGCCGGGGCTGGGTGAGCGGTGGAGCAGGGCGGTCTTCCAGGCCTTGAGGACAAGAGGACATTCAAGGGAAAAGAGCCAGGAGAAAGCATCCTCACCCCAACCTGGGCATGGGGCAGCCCAGCGAAGTGGCGGCCCCTTCCCAAGACACCCAAGGCCATCCCACAGGTCCTGGAGACTTTGAGAGGGATTCAGAGCTGGCAAGGGCAGACGCCACCTGCCGCATGAGCTGAGGAGCACACGCAGGATTTGGGGGCAGGCCAGGGGCCTCCCACAGTGCACTAAGGGCAGATGGGGTGCTGGGAAGGGCTTGTGGAGAGTGCGGGAAGCTGAGGGAGCCGGCCAGGATGGGAAGTCCCTGGGGAGGAAGACATGGGAGGGGAGAAGCGCAGTGTAAGAAAGCGCAGAGGGGCCCACACCACAGGGTGAGACAGGAGCAAGTCTGCATGCAGGAAGGCAAGGAGGCTGGCTGCAATGGCAGGGAGATCAAAACCCCAACTGAGGAGGGTCCTGGGGCACCAGTGCTTGCCAGACAGAGAGGATAGCAGGAGGCAACAGTGGACCCACAAGGTCTGAGTTCCAATGGGAATCTTTCAGCAACCAGCAAGGAGTCCAGGGAAGGAGAGGGTATGCAGGGTGTGCCAGACCCTCCGAGGATGCCTGGGCTGCTGAGCTTCCTGCCTCTGCCCTCCCCACTCCCAGGCCTCCAGGGAATCCAGCCAGACACCCAGCCTCTTCGTCCCTGGGAAGGGCAGGGAAGAGCTCTGCCACAAGCCTCCCCACCTCCCTGCCAACTCCCAGGGCTATTTAAGAGACGCTGGCACCCAGCTGACCGGGAGAGTGCGTGCGGGTTCACAGGCCCAATTAGAAAGGTGGGAGGCGAGCAGAGCCTGGGAGCTACCGGCCATCCTGTCCTGGGAGCTCCTGAGGGTATGCCAGAGCGCTCCACGAATGGGGAAACGCTTCCGTCTGGCTCACGTGCACCAGCAGAGCTACGCGCAGGGCAGAACCAACAACAGTCCCTCCCCTTAGACTGGAAGCTCCATGGGGTAGGGCCACAAGGCCGTCACCACTGCGGGCTGGCAGGAGGTATTCGATTTGCCCGCGGCTCGTCACTTGGTGAATCGCCTGACGCCCAACCTGGGCCCGGTGCTGTACGACGTGGGCACACTTGGCCTACAGACCGGGCCGCACCTCAAGATACTGGACAGCGGGCTGCTGCTGGCCTCGCGCTATCCGCTGCTGTGCGCCACCTTCCGTTGCTTCCCCCACGCGCGTGGGGAGGACACGCTGGCCTCCAAGGGACTACTGTCCACACAGGTACTGGCCTACCCCGCCCAGAGCACAGAGGGGGCGGGGTTCGGCCAAGAAGGCGAGGGAAGCTGGGGCCGTCCGTGGTGTTGCAAGCGCAGCTGGGCAGCCTGGACGGGCGCCACATCGTGGGATTCCTGCACTGCACGCACTTGCAAGCACTGGCTGGTGAACCCTGCGGGTGGGTCCTCAGAACAGGTCCCGCCTCTCCGTGGCGGCTACTGATTCCTACATTCGCCTGCCCCCCGCCCCCACCTCCCGCCCTATGTTCACTGCCCCAGGCATGGGAATTCCTGAGAGGTGCCTGTCGGGCTCACAGATCAGGAACTGGGGAGCCGGGAGCTGACTGACCAAGATGCGGGTCCGAATCTGGAGCCGAGCCCACCCCACCCCCCTTCCCCGCGCAGAGGACGGGCCCTTGCGCAGCAAACAGCTGATGCTGCTGCTGGACTGAGCCGAGAAGTTTGAGGCCGAGAGCGAACAAAGTGGAGGGGTCGTGGCTTTACGCGTGCTCCTGGGCGACCTAAACTTCGATAACTGCTCGAAAGGTCCAGCAGGAGGGGAGGGCAGGGAGGCAGGGGCGGAGCCAGGAGGCCCGGCCCCGCCCACCGCGCTCCAGCCTCTCTCTGCGCTGCAGCAGTAGCACAAGCTCTTCCGCCGCTTCCAGGACCCCTGCCGGATGGGCACGCGCCAAGAGCAGCCCTGGGCCCTGGGTATCGTGCTTGGGGGGAGGGTACCAGAGCGGGGAGTGGACCTGGGGAGCGCTGTCGGCCGAGGCTCTGGCTGATGCCTCCCTCCCCCAGATCCCCCAGGGACCCCACTGCGCAGCTCCGTGCTCCACCACTCCGTGGCCTCCTCCCCCGAGATGCTGAGGCGGTGAGTGGCGACCTGGAGGTAGGCACTGCCCGCCTGAAGCGCGCAAAGGGGCCCTGGCCTTGGTGACACCGCCCCCCTTCCAGGACCCTGGAGCAGGAGAAAGGGCGCCACCTCTACCTGGCCGGCCCTCCCGGCAGAAGCCACCGAGCTAAGCCCTGGAGAGGTCAGCACCAGGACTACATCACGTACTGCGGAGTTCCTGGGGGCCTGCTGAGCCCAGTGAGTGCCAGGGCCCGGGTGGCTGGGCCTGCGGCGCTGGGACGACCCTCAACCTGATTCCCGCCCCCAGGAGGTGGAGCAGGTGACGTTCAGTACCGCCCTGGCGGGGCTCACGGACCACCTGGTAGTGAGCCTGCAGCTCTGAGTCTGGGTGTCCTCCTAAGGCAGGCACAGATGACAGGCGTGCAGCCAGCGCGCACAGACACGACTCCGAGCACGAACTAGGCGCCGTAGCTGCGTCCCCAGAACCGGGTGACTTAAGGCATCTTTATTGCAGGACCTTCACACGGCCTCCTGGGCACGGCGGTACTCATAGACGCTGCCGTGCTCGGGAAAGGCCAGTGTTTGCGGGGGTGACCCCGGCGGTGGGGCGGGGTCCTCCGGGTCCCCATAGCCACCGCCGCCGGGCGTGTGGAGACAGAACACATCCTGTTGGGGGGGGGGTACGGGCTCAGCGTAGTTGTGGCCCCTCCCTGTCACCTGCGCAGTCCCCTCCCCGCAGGGCAGCATCCATCACCCACCCCCAGGGACCACAGAGGCCTGGTACCCGCCCCCTTTCCTTCGGGGGCCAAATTAAACTCGGCCTCTGGTCATGTCTGCAACTGTTCCCCGTCTGTGGGATGGGGCCGGGAGAGGAGAGGGACAGGACAGGCCATGGTCCTTACCCCAGGGTACACGGTCACCGACGTCTTGCCGCCCAGATTCACCGTCCGGCCGTTTTTGCGTATCAGCAGGTTTAGGCCGCGGGCACCGGGCTCGCCCCCTGCGGAGGGAGGCGAGGAGTCCAGAGGGACCCGGGGCGGGGGCGGGGGCGGGGGCAGGGAGGGCCGCGAGGGCTGGGGACCCGCTCACCGTGGAGCCCGTAGGGCCGGAAGGCGCGGCGCTCGGTCAGCACTGACAGCAGCGCCTCCTCGCGAAAGATCAGCTCGCGGGTGACACCGTCGCCACCCCGGAAGCGGCCTCTGCCCCCCGAGCCCCGCCGCAGCTCGAAGCGGCGCAGGATGACCGGGTACCTGTGAGGGCGAGGACAAGGGCGAGGACTTAGTGTGGCCGAGCCCCGGCTCCCACACGGTCGCGCCCCCAGGCTCCGCGCACGCCGCTCACCGGCTCTCCAGGATTTCAGGGTCGGTGATGCGCGTGTTGGTCATATGGCTGTGCACGCCGCTGCGCCCATGCCAGCTGGGACCCGCGCCCGCGCCGCCTGCCACCGTCTCATAGTAGCCCATGTGGGCGTTGCCCAGCGTCACGTTGTTCATGCAGCCCTGGCGAGAGCACTCGGTCGCTGCGCTGGGCTGGGGCGGGGCGTCCCCACCTTGCCCGCCCACTCCTACTCCAGCCTGCCCACCCGGCCCGCCCCCGACCGCGCTCACCCCGCCCCCGCACCTGGGAGGCGGCGCAGGCCCCAAAGGCCCCCAGGATGACATCCACCACGCGCTGCGACGTGAGCACGTTGCCGCCCACCACCGCCGCCTCGGGCGAGGGGTCCAGGATGGAGCCTTGGGGAATCACTACGCGCACTGGCGCCAGGCAGCCCTGTGCGGGGCGGGCGGCTCTCAGGGGCTCTTGGGGTGGGCTCCAAGAGAAATAGCACCTCCGCGCCCCAGCACCCATGGGGTCAGTCCGTGTCTGGGCCCCGGAGGCGCACTCAGGGTGACCTCGGGCTGGGGCCCGCCCTCGCTCACACACCCCTGCGAACCTGGTTGAGCGGGATGTCGCGGCCCACCAGACAGCGCAGGCAGTAGATGAGAGCGGACAGGGTTATGGCCCGCGGTGCGTTGAGATTACCGAACACCTCCGGCCCAGTGCCGCTGAAGTCAAACACAGCGCTGCCCTGCACACCGGAGGGAAGAGAGAGGCAGTCAGCAGCTGCGCCATGCCCCTGACGCCCAGGAGCGCCATCCCTGCGGCCCACCTGACTCAGGTTGATCTGCACGCGAAGGCGGATAGGGGAACCGTCGTCCATGTGGTCTTCCGAGGACACCTCCAGGGGCAGGCCCCGGGCCTGCCGGGAGGTTCCAAAGGCACGCAACATGTCGCGCACGGCCAGCTCAGCGTTCGCCTGGCAGGGAGCAGGATCAGTGGCAGCCAGGCCACCTGCAGGATGGCCCTGCTGCCCACACTCCTGTGCCCAGGCCCACCTGAATATGGCCCATGTAGGCCTGCACGACGTCCAGGCCGTACTGCCCAATGAGCTCCCCCACCAGCTGGATGCCCTTCTG